GTCTGTGTCGTGGTGAGTGGTGATTGGTGGTGTCTGTGTGATGGTGAGTGGTGATTGGTGGTGTCTGTGTGATGGTGAGTGTAGTGATTGGTGGTGTCTGTGTGATAGTGAGTGGTGATTGGTGGTGTCTGTGTGATGGTGAGTGTGGTGATTGGTGGTGTCTGTGTGGTGGTGAGTGGTGATTGGTGGTGTCTGTGTCGTGGTGAGTGGTGATTGGTGGTGTCTGTGTGGTGGTGAGTGGTGATTGGTGGTGTCTGTGTGGTGGTGAGTGTGGTGATTGGTGGTGTCTGTGTGGTGGTGAGTGGTGATTGGTGGTGTCTGTGTCGTGGTGAGTGGTGATTGGTGGTGTCTGTGTGGTGGTGAGTGGTGATTGGTGGTGTCTGTGTGGTGGTGAGTGGTGATTGGTGGTGTCTGTGTCGTGGTGAGTGGTGATTGGTGGTGTCTGTGTCGTGGTGAGTGGTGATTGGTGGTGTCTGTGTCGTGGTGAGTGGTGATTGGTGGTGTCTGTGTGATGGTGAGTGTGGTGATTGGTGGTGTCTGTGTGGTGGTGAGTGGTGATTGGTGGTGTCTGTGTCGTGGTGAGTGGTGATTGGTGGTGTCTGTGTCGTGGTGAGTGGTGATTGGTGGTGTCTGTGTCGTGGTGAGTGGTGATTGGTGGTGTCTGTGTGATGGTGAGTGTGGTGATTGGTGGTGTCTGTGTCGTGGTGAGTGGTGATTGGTGGTGTCTGTGTCGTGGTGAGTGGTGATTGGTGGTGTCTGTGTCGTGGTGAGTGGTGATTGGTGGTGTCTGTGTGGTGGTGAGTGGTGATTGGTGGTGTCTGTGTCGTGGTGAGTGGTGATTGGTGGTGTCTGTGTCGTGGTGAGTGGTGATTGGTGGTGTCTGTGTCGTGGTGAGTGGTGATTGGTGGTGTCTGTGTGGTGGTGAGTGGTGATTGGTGGTGTCTGTGTGGTGGTGAGTGGTGATTGGTAGTGTCTGTGTGGTGGTGAGTGTGGTGATTGGTGGTGTCTGTGTGATGGTGAGTGGTGATTGGTGGTGTCTGTGTGGTGGTGAGTGGTGATTGGTGGTGTCTGTGTGGTGGTGAGTGTGGTGATTGGTGGTGTCTGTGTGGTGGTGAGTGGTGATTGGTGGTGTCTGTGTCGTGGTGAGTGTGGTGATTGGTGGTGTCTGTGTGATGGTGAGTGGTGATTGGTGGTGTCTGTGTGGTGGTGAGTGTGGTGATTCGTGGTGTCTGTGTGTTGGTGAGTGGTGATTGGTGGTGTCTGTGTGATGGTGAGTGGTGATTGGTGGTGTCTGTGTCGTGGTGAGTGGTGATTGGTGGTGTCTGTGTGGTGGTGAGTGGTGATTGGTGGTGTCTGTGTGGTGGTGAGTGTGGTGATTCGTGGTGTCTGTGTGTTGGTGAGTGGTGATTGGTGGTGTCTGTGTGATGGTGAGTGGTGATTGGTGGTGTCTGTGTCGTGGTGAGTGGTGATTGGTGGTGTCTGTGTGGTGGTGAGTGTGGTGATTGGTGGTGTCTGTGTGGTGGTGAGTGGTGATTGGTGGTGTCTGTGTCGTGGTGAGTGGTGATTGGTGGTGTTTGTGTGGTGGTGAGTGTGGTGATTGGTGGTGTCTGTGTGATGGTGAGTGTGGTGATTGGTGGTGTCTGTGTGATGGTGAGTGGTGATTGGTGGTGTCTGTGTCGTGGTGAGTGGTGATTGGTGGTGTCTGTGTGATGGTGAGTGTGGTGATTGGTGGTGTCTGTGTGGTGGTGAGTGGTGATTGGTGGTGTCTGTGTGGTGGTGAGTGTGGTGATTGGTGGTGTCTGTGTGGTGGTGAGTGGTGATTGGTGGTGTCTGTGTCGTGGTGAGTGGTGATTGGTGGTGTTTGTGTGGTGGTGAGTGTGGTGATTGGTGGTGTCTGTGTGATGGTGAGTGTGGTGATTGGTGGTGTCTGTGTGATGGTGAGTGGTGATTGGTGGTGTCTGTGTGGTGGTGAGTGTAGTGATTGGTGGTGTCTGTGTGATGGTGAGTGGTGATTGGTGGTGTCTATGTGATGGTGAGTGGTGATTGGTTGTGTCTGTGTGATGGTGAGTGGTGATTGGTGGTGTCTGTGTGGTGGTGAGTGTGGTGATTGGTGGTGTCTGTGTGTTGGTGAGTGGTGATTGGTGGTGTCTGTGTGGTGGTGAGTGTGGTGATTGGTGGTGTCTTTGTGGTGGTGAGTGTGGTGATTGGTGGTGTCTGTGTGATGGTGAGTGGTGATTGGTGGTGTCTGTGTGGTGGTGTGTGTGGTGATTGGTGGTGCCTGTGTGGTGGTGAGTGTGGTGATTGGTGGTCTCTTTGTGGTGGTGAGTGTGTGATTGGTGGTGTCTGTGTGGTGGTGAGTGGTGATTGGTGGTGTCTGTGTGATGGTGAGTGGTGATTGGTGGTGTCTGCGTGGTGGTGAGTGGTGATTGGTGGTGTCTGTGTGGTGGTGAGTGTGGTGATTGGTGGTGTCTGTGTGATGGTGAGTGGTGATTGGTGGTGTCTGTGTGGTGGTGAGTGGTGATTGGTGGTGTCTGTGTGATGGTGAGTGGTGATTGGTGGTGTCTGCGTGGTGGTGAGTGGTGATTGGTGGTGTCTGTGTGGTGGTGAGTGGTGATTGGTGGTGTCTGTGTGGTGGTGAGTGGTGATTGGTGGTGTCTGTGTGATGGTGAGTGGTGATTGGTGGTGTCTGTGTGGTGGTGAGTGTGGTGATTGGTGGTGTCTGTGTGGTGGTGAGTGGTGGTGTCTGTGTGGTGGTGAGTGTGGTGATTGGTGGTGTCTGTGTGGTGGTGAGTGTGGTGATTGGTGGTGTCTGTGTGATGGTGAGTGGTGATTGGTGGTGTCTGTGTGGTGGTGAGTGTGGTGATTGGTGGTGTCTGTGTGGTGGTGAGTGTGGTGATTGGTGGTGTCTGTGTGGTGGTGAGTGTGGTGATTGGTGGTGTCTGTGTGATGGTGAGTGGTGATTGGTGGTGTCTGTGTGGTGGTGAGTGTGGTGATTGGTGGTGTCTGTGTGATGGTGAGTGTGGTGATTGGTGGTGTCTGTGTGGTGGTGAGTGTGGTGATTGGTGGTGTCTGTGTGGTGGTGAGTGTGGTGATTGGTGGTGTCTGTGTGGTGGTGAGTGTGGTGATTGGTGGTGTCTGTGTGATGGTGAGTGGTGATTGGTGGTGTCTGTGTGGTGGTGAGTGTGGTGATTGGTGGTGTCTGTGTGGTGGTGAGTGGTGATTGGTGGTGTCTGTGTGGTGGTGAGTGGTGATTGGTGGTGTCTGTGTGGTGGTGAGTGTGGTGATTGGTGGTGTCTGTGTCGTGGTGAGTGGTGATTGGTGGTGTCTGTGTGGTGGTGAGTGGTGATTGGTGGTGTCTGTGTGGTGGTGAGTGGTGATTGGTGGTGTCTGTGTGATGGTGAGTGGTGATTGGTGGTGTCTGTGTGGTGGTGAGTGGTGATTGGTGGTGTCTGTGTGGTGGTGAGTGGTGATTGGTGGTGTCTGTGTGGTGGTGATTGGTGGTGTCTGTGTGGTGGTGAGTGGTGATTGGTGGTGTCTGTGTGATGGTGAGTGGTGGTGTCTGTGTGGTGGTGAGTGGTGATTGGTGGTGTCTGTGTGCTGATGAGTGCGGTGATTGGTGGTGTCTGTGTGGTGGTGAGTGGTGATTGGTGGTGTCTTTGTGGTGGTTAGTGGTGATTGGTGGTGTCTGTGTGGTGGTGAGTGCGGTGGTGTATCTGGCGTGTATCGTGGCGCTTGCATAAATGCCTCAGCATCGCATCCTCATCTCAGCCTTTTGAAGGGCACCCCCAGTGGCAGCTGTCCTTGCGCCATGCGACTCGGCACCCGGCCTGCGAGGGGGCGTCAAGTCTGCCGCTGGGGGGCGTGGCGATGATTAGCGCCGTAATGCTGTGAAATCGGACACCCGACGAAATCACCGATTAGAGATTTGCCCATACAGTGATCCCTCGTTTTTCGCGGTTAATGGGACCGGAACCCCTCGCGATAGGTGAAAATCCGCAATGTAGGATTGGCCCCCCCAGGAATTTCCGTGTGTGTGTGTGTATGTGTGTGTGTGTATGTGTGTGTATGTGTGTGTGTGTATGTGTGTGTATGTGTGTGTGTATGTGTGTGTATGTGTGTGTGTATGTGTGGTCATCTCGGTCAGTCGACCCGTGGCACCTGGGTCTGCCCCGTGACCTCCTGCCAGCGGGCTTTCGACACTTCACGTGGCCTCAAGGTGCACTTGGCCTGGCACAAGCATCGTGGTGACGTCACCGCCACTTAGTGGCGAATGGCGGTTGTTGTTGTTGTTGTGGGTGTGGGAAGAAGCTGGGAGAGGATGCGTTGATGCGCAGCCAATCATCTCACGGGATACTGTATATCCTCTCGTGCTCTCATTCGTCGATCTCGCGCCGGGAACCAATCACGTGCCTTGTCTGAGTGCCCGTGGGTGCAGTATGTACAAAGCCTCTGAGAGAGTTTCTCTCTTTGTCTGGCATCCTGGGAAACCGTTTCTCTCGCGCATCACAATGAAACAACGCTGCTTTCCACAATACGGCTGCCGATATGGCGGTATTTTTTTTTTATTTTTCGATGAATATTTTTGAAAAATCCGCGATGCACTGAGGCCGCCAAACTTGAACCGCGAAGTGGCGAGGGATTATTGTATATGGAAGAAAATAGGCATTGGTGTTGGCCGAAGGGGCGTTTCTTTGCCCATAGATGGTCATTGTGAGATTAATTGTATAGATTCAGCTCAGTCGAATCAGCAGCCGTTCAAAGTTGGTCTGGCAGCTATCTTGAAAATGTCTATTAATTGTCAATTGCTTCGTTGGCAATCGATTACGTCGTCAATAATTGTTTGTATCGAGTAGTCGTGTGACACTCCCCCCCGTAATTTATCTGATTGGCTAACATCAGCAAGATTGGTGATTCCGTCGCAGTCCGCTTCTATTGTACCACAGCACCACGTGTGATCCCCCGATCGTCCCGGCGCGGGACCGTGTGCCGCGCGACCGCAGGGCTTCAACAAGCAGCGCGAGTTCATCATCACGCAGAGGCCGCTGGCGCACACGGCGCAGGATTTCTGGAGGATGACGTGGGAGGTCAACGCTCGCTTCATCGTCATGCTGCAGGGAAACGACGCGTCCGTACGTACCGTCATCGGCACTGTCGCCCTCATGGTCGTCGTCGAGATGATGATGATTATTTTGTTTTTGAGAGAGCCGCCCTCCTCCTTCATGCCAGAGCGAGCGCTGTGCGCACTGGGATTGAGGCACATTCGAAAGGGAGGCGCCCCCAGTGGCAGCTCTCCCTGCGCGACACGGTGACTCGGTGTGCGATGATCGCCACTTCTGTGCCTAATCCCAAATGAGTAATTTGCGTGTAAGTCTTTCAAATTTGGTGAATGTTTACAATGACATCGGCACAGTGGCCTACTCTTGCGAATAATGTCAGAGGATATTTTGCGTCCGCTGTGAGTGAAGCAGACAGCACGTTGTATCATTATGGTGAATATAACCACCCGGCAGTATTAACCAGGGCAGCCTGCCTGAGTCCAACCCAGAACCTCTTCTGCAACAAGCGGCGAACGTCCTGCCCCTCGGCTGTGTCACCACCCTGATCATTTTGGCCATCATCATTTATCATGATCATCATTGTCTGTCATTCTCATCACCATCACCATTAAAATCTTTTTCAGTTTTTGTAATTCATTATCGTTGCAATAATCAGTCATCAGTCACTACAATTACAATCATATTGCCCATCATAATCTCCATCACCATGACCATCATCACCAATATCATCATTACCACTTCCACCACCATTATCATTATAATCTTCATCAACACCATCGTCTGTTACGATCACCACGGTAGTTGAGTAATGGACAGTTGTCGTTGCTTTAGGAGGGTGATGGCTGGTGGGTGATTTTGGTCCTGGTGGGTGTCGGTCATGGTGAGTAATTGCCGGTCGTCGTGGGTGACGGTCGTCGTGGGCGATGGTCGCCGTCGGTGATTTCCGGTCACCATGGGTGATAGCCGATCGTTGTGGGCGATAGCCGGTCACCGTGGGTTCCGATCGCCATGGGTGACGGTCTCCGTGGGTGACGGTCGCTGTGGGGCGGTGTTGTTGTTGTTGCAGGCGGACGCGGAGGCCCCGTACTGGCCGGCGCGGGAGGGCAGTTCGGTGCCGTGCGACGGCTTCACGGTGCTGCTGCGTAGCGAGCGCCGTCTCACGCTCGCCAATGAGGGACCTTTCGTCATCGCCGACCTGCTGCTCAGGGCCGACAAGGCACGTGCGCCCGCAGCGGATTCGATCCTGGGTCAACGCATCAATACAGCTTAACAAGAACACCAAGGACAGAGATCCCCTGTATAACCTTAACAGACCTGTTAACACGTAGCACCTATAAAGGCTGGCACGGCACACGTGGGTATGATGTGGCCATTGTAACACCCAGCCGCCTTTGTGTCCCTCGTGGTGATGTTTTTACACACCGCACCGGGTACTCATTTAAGGCTAAGTCTACCTAGGAGAGGCCCAGGACCAGTTCAGATAATCGTCAATGGCGTTGCCCATGAGCGGGAATTGAATTCGAGCTGCCAGGTTCGTAGCGCAGCGCGCACTAGCCCTACACTACCGCTTCCCACCACACACACAACTCAATAATTCTCTCCGAGTCCTCCGAGCGATGATGGAAATGCCTTCCGGGTAATTAACCGATTACAGGGAATTGATCGCGGCAATGCCCTGTGGAGGATGCCTGTTGACTTTTGTCCATTTCCCAGCCCTGTGTTGACAATGCCGCCGCAGTCTTGACGTGAGACCGAGCATCAACGTTTTGGCAGCGAGCAAGGCAGCTCCCTGCTGTGCTGGAGAATGGCCCGTGAAAGGAGATACCACAGAACTGCTTCTGAGATATCTCCAAGTGGCCTTTTGATATTCACGTACAGTCAGCCAATCTGTGTTAGTTCTCAGTACCAGGTTTAATCAAGGCCAGCTGAAACCCGGATTCATACCCAGCATCTCAGCCAGCTCCGTGCTGTGAGCCCGATCCATCATCAGTCTATGGTTCGTCCGCTGCTGGATGGAGGCTTCCCCATTATGTCGCCATCCCTCTGGGTTTCACAAGCAATCGATCTTACTCCTAAACATGAAAGATTCTCATTGCTCGATCTCAAACGTAAGCAATTATGAGATAAACCAATTATATAAATGTAACGATGGTGGGGCGGCAGTGGTGGTGTAGTTGGTGAAGGAGGCACACCTGGGTTTGATTCCAGGCCACGGCTAATGTCATTGGGCGAGTGATATCTGAACCAACCCTGGACGGCCCTTTCAAACACACCTGCATTGACCACCGTGGCGAAGTATGATCAAGCAGCTCATTGACCGGCATGGCATTTCGGAAGCTTTCGTCCAGCAGTGGCTTGACATAAGGCTGTAAATTAAACCAAAACAATAGCAGTGACAGCAACTTTTAGTTATTTAACAATCTCCAGGAATTGCGACGTTTGACGATTTCCTGCGAACAAGTTCACCCAATGCGTAGGTTTCGGACTTTGCGGATGGCGTCCTGATGATTGTTCGACCTAGCTTCGAGCAGAACGCCGTTGAGCTCATTGCCCCGTGGGATTGTTCGTGAACTTCTACCAGTGAGTAAGCTCGAACGATCGTCATCGCGTTAAACGCTCGGACGCCACCACGTGGACGATTCATTCGTTTGGCTGTGTCGGCTGGTGGAGGGTTTTTTTCTTTTCAGATTCTTTATCCTGAAGAAATTCGATGAGCTGTGAAGCTTTTTTTCACATATGTCCAGGAGGGGCGGGTCAGAAAGTTATTGGTGGTAGTGGGATCTTAAGGATGCGCAATTCAGTCAGATCGTTTACGTCGGAGACCTAACCCACAAATGTATTCCGAGTCCACTAATTTAGCATTTTGCTTCACGTGAGTGGTGACCACGGCACTTGCACAGAGGGGATGACCCTCAGGAGGTCCGCACGGACATGTTCACGAGCCCGCTGCGCTACCCCCCTCCCCCGCGCAGGGTGATCGTGAGGTGGAGGTGCGGCACCTGCGCTGTCCGCCGTGGCCCAACCCGGACGCTCCAATCAGCAGCTGCTTCGAGCTGGTGGGCGTGGCCAGGGACGAGGGGGCGGCCCGTGACGGACCAATCATCATCCACGACCAGTGGGTGCCGCACGCGCGTACTCGGCGGACCGTGACGCAGGCCGGCGCTCGGTGGCTACATTTTTGCGAACGACGTTACGACGTCTACGCCGTCCGTGGCGAATCGCACGGCCGGGCAGTAGTCGTACGCATGAACACGCACAGTGGCCACCGGGGCTCAAACCGCGAGCCTCGGCCGCGAACGCCGTACCGCTCGACCGTGCCCACCCGTCTGAAGACGAGGCACCTTGCGTGCTTGGTGAGACTCGTCCATACCTCGCAGCCATCTTTGCCACCGAGACCGGGGGGGATTTTTGCCGAGCAGCCCCCCCCCCCCCGCCCCCGCACTGTACGGGGACAAATTTGGCGGCGCCTCAGGGCGATAAAAACAAATTAAAGCACTTTGCGCAGCTTAAGAGGCAATTCCGCTGCCAGGAGCGATGCATGCGGGCAGGGAACTAATGATCGTGCGCACACAACAACGACGACAACGACAACAACAGCGCATGTTCAACAGCGACACACGCGCGCACTCACACACAGGGCACAGAAAGACAAAGATCCCCCATACACCCTTAACAGACTATCGTGGAAATTTCCATTAGTGAGCACCTATTAAGGCCGGAACGGCACGTGAGGATGCGGTGTGGCCAGCACCATGCCCGGCCGCCTTTGTCTTCCCAGTGAAATTTACACATTCCACCAAGTACTCATTTGAGGATGAGTAGACCTAGGGGATGGCCAGGACCAGTTCAGGTTCGCCGGATTCGTAGCGAAGTGCACTAACCACTTGACGACCATTTCCGACTCATAGAAACACACACGCACATGCCATGGGTGGGTGGGTGAGTTGGTGGGTGGGTGGGTAGATGGGTGTGTGAGTGAGTGCATGGGTCGGTGGGTGAATTAGTGAGTTGGTGACGGGGTGAGTACGTGCGTGAGAGTGAGTGTGAGAGAGGGTGGGAGAATGAGTGAGTTGGTGTGTGAGTGAGCAGGTGGGTGAGGGGGTGGGTGAGTGAGAGTGAGTGGGTGGGTGGGTGAGTTAGTGGGTATCATTGAGCGAGTGGATGGGTGGGTGTGTGAGTTCATTGGTGGGCGGGTGACTGAGTGAATGTTGTTGTCTGCAGTATGGTGGTTGGATGAGATGAAACAGTGGGTGTCTGCTTCACTGAGACATCAACATGGGTCGAGGAATCAATGAGGAATCGAGTTCACAGGAAAACGGGAACTATTGCAGCAGCTATAGAAGAGTGATAACGTGGCGAACGGCGACTGGAGAGTGATGAATACATTCGGTATTGGTGCTATCATTCCGACAGAGCAAGGCGATCAACACGGAGGAAGGCGCTGCTTGCTGTGTTTCACAGAAACAGTCTGCGGTGGCTTCACGGGAGAGGGTGATGTTTGTTACTGCTGTGTGGAGGATCCCGATCGAGTGATTTGCAGTGTTACATATGCCAAGTTTGGGCCATGTCTCTGGCACTAAATGGCTTCCTCATTTCGAGTGACATCAGGGGAATCTGTAACGTCCGCTGTGAGTCAATCAGACACGCCGCGTAGGAGTACCGCCACGGTGGCGAGAAGTTAACTACCTCGCCAGGTGTGCAGGAGGTCGTGGGTTCTATCCCGACCCTAACACCTTTATATTTGGAGTTTGCAAATCTCTCTCCCCGTGGTCGCGTGGATTTTTTATCTGGCTCCTCCGGTTTTGCCCTCCACATTTATAATCAACGTCACGCGTTCAGAGTTTTTTGGCTACGGCTATAAATGTCTACGTGATGATGATAAGCCACTTCGTGGAGCTATCATTTGTGATGGTCATGTCACTTGTGAAAAAGAGCTACACAGCAGCTCATTGGGGCCTTACTTTGGTGAGATAAAATACTGTGAATACTCACACCCAGAGCAATAACTGGGGCAGCCCGGCGGATCCGAAATGGCACGAACCTCCACCATCACCGAGTGTTGTGACCGACGCCCCCCCGTTGTGTGGCGCGCGTCGCGGCGAGCGGTGCGGTGACGGCGTTGCCCCCACCGAGCGGCTGCGTGTGTGCGGTGTGTGCGGCGGCGGTGGTGCAGGTGTGGGGGCAATGCGGCCGGCACGCTGGTGGCGCTCGCCACGCTCTGGCACCAGCTGGAGGAGGACGGCTCGGCTGACGTGTTCCTCGCCGCCAAGATGGTGTCGCTGGCACGGCCCGGCACGTTCACTGATGCGGTACGTACCCGCCGATACACGCCCTCACGTGCTCACAAAGAAAAAGATCCCCCATATAGCCTTAACAGACTGGGTGGCCAACACCATGCCCGGCTGCCTTTGTCTCCCCAGTGGCGATATATACGCACCATACCGAGTAATCATTTGAGGCTGAGTCAACCTAGGGAAGGAAGCCCAGGACCGGTTCAGATAATCGGCACTGGTGTTGACCGTGAACGGGAATCGAACTCGGGTCGCCGGGTTCATACCGCAGCGGGCTAACCACTAGACTTCACGTCCCACTCATGCGCTCGCTCACGCACGCACACACACACACGTACGTACGCACGCCGCCAAACCAGGGACGAGTTTCGCTGCCGCGCAAGGCTATAACACTGACGGTTTTATTCGTATCATATTGTTTTTTTTACCGCCCGTATCAGCACTGTCGGTGTATAAATAATATGTCCGAGAGGACGTACCACCACCAGATGAGGAGTGATGAAATCGGTTCCATGTCCGGGTGCTGGGTGCATTTTTACATCGGACGATCGTGATGAGTGGTGGCAGTAGTGCCATGGGGAGGCCTTCACCCAGCAGTGGATTGACCATGGCCGGCGATGGTCATGATAATGGTGTGTACACCTGTGTGTAATCTGTGTGCTACGAACCCGATGACCCGAGTTCGATTCCCGCTCATGGCCAACACCAGTGATGATTATCAGTACCGGTCCTGGGCTTCCTCTAGCTTGACTCAGCCTCAAATTAGTACCTGGTGCAGTGTGTAAACATCGTCACTGGGGAGACAAAGGCGGCTGGCCACCCACCCCCTCGTGTGCCGTGTCAGCCTTGATAGGTGCTACTCGTTAACAGCACTTGCCCCAACAGTCTGTTGAGGCTGTGCACCTGAGTACTCTCATACAGGGCCCAGTGACGGGCCGACTCCCATTCCTGGCCAACCGCTGCCCGTTAGCAGAGTGGTCGCACGTCACATGAGCACTGATTACTGTTCACTCCGAGACGCTCTAATTGTGTTGATTTTCTTTCAATTGAAGGCATCCTCGAGTTTAAGTGCATTTAATCTCGCACAATTAAAACGACAACAAACCAAAAAAAAACCTCATCCGTTTAATTTTACTCCATTTCAATTATAAGTACACGGGGAGCGCTTAATGGATCATTGCAACGAGCGGCGCCAGCATTTAGCCAGACAGCCGCCACCACCGCCACGCGCAGTGTTCCGCCGGTGCTGCAAGCGCAGATGATCGGTAATGACGAAAGCGACCGCTGGCCACTACGGTGGAAACGAGAACAAACGGCGGCGACCTTTGCTGCTGCGCCGCCCGCCGCCCTCCACTGCCACCATCGCCACTTCCCGCAATTCCTTCATCGCGATTCCTTACCTCTGGCACTCGGCCCGCCGATGATGAACCGCGTTCAACGTTCGGATATCGGATCTGTCATCAGCCATGTTTGATCTTCTGCTGGATGAAGGCCCCCCCTCCGCGCCACCCAAAGCCATCGCCATCTACAATCATGTTTTTTTTGTCGGGTTAAATCGCGTAAATATAAATGTGTCGTTAAACCCGACACCACCCGACACAGCCAATTAGTAAGGTTTGTCACTTGAACAAAGCGCGCCAATTAATGACAGCTTCAGCACACTGGTGTGTTGTAGAGTAAACCCACAACATTGACAATTGTTGGTTGTGAGTCGCAGATGTACTCCTTGGAGGCAACACATTTATTGATACCAACACAAAGGGGTGACTGCCCCTTTACCAGATAACAACCTATGGTGGTGGACCACCAGGCTAACTACACTAGTTACACTGGGAGTATCTACAATGGACAGGACCCCGGCCTGAGTCCAGGTCCACATGTTGGTGACTCTTCTCGGATGTAGAACGTAGATCTCCAGGATAACAACAGCAACGCTGAACCCCGGTCCCCCTGGGGACCCGGTTTATATCCTGACTGGTCGTGGCTGGCTCCGCCCTTGGCCACGACCACCTTCTCGAATCCTCTAGCAGGATCTCGCCCTGACATGTAACCACCCCTAGCCCCCACTTGGGGCCACTGTGTAGACTTTACCGTCACGTGCCTTCAAGGGTCAACCAGAATGCCATGGCCTACAGTAACCCCATTCATGGCCGGCACCCTCAGACCATTGAGGAATGCCTCAGTGATCGTCGCTGCCGACTGGTTGGGGAGTGGCCAGGCCACAGGCCATCATGAAAAATACTCGACTCTCACTAGCAAGTACTTATTCCCACGAGGGGTAGTGGGATGTCCAGAGCAACTAGTTAATTTACATGGGAGACCTGAATCGATTGCAACGGTGGACAACAGGGTTTCGCCGGCGACTTCCGCCGCGCACACTGCACACACCCCTTCAACAAATTAGCGACATCCTCAGCCATGCCAGGCCAGAAGAAGTCCAACTTAAGTGTGGCCAACGTCTTCTGCACACCCAGGTGCAGGAGGCGCACATTTACCGCCCAAATGACCTTACCCAGCAGAGCAGTGGGCACAACAATGTTATAACGGCGCAATCTTCCGTCCCAATGCATGAGCCTCTAAGAATGACAGAGGCGACACCCAGTCGATCCTCGCCCCCATCAGTCTCTCTCACACGGCATCGCAATTTAAGCAGGGAAGTGTCTTCAACCTGGAGGCGCCCCCATTCTTCGTGGTCCAACCCAATGACAGCGTCACGCGCCATCAGACCCTCGGCCACCTCAGATGTTACAACCTCGGCCGACGCCGCAAGGGGAGGGGGCGAGTGCTCGTTGGGCGGCTTACAGCGCCCGGAGCCCGATAAACACGTGCACCCGCCGCTCGTTTGTAATCGCGACAGGGCATCAGCGTTCGTGTGACAGGAGCCTTTGCGATAGGTTACCTTAAAAGAGTAGTCCTGGAGGACCCCTCCAACCAGCGTGAAAGTTGGCCAGATGGCTGTTCAACACGCAGCGCGTACTGTAGCGCTGCGTGGTCCGAGTGCACCTCAAAGCGTCTACCATACAAATAGGGGCGATAATGTTGCACAAAAACCACAATAGCTAACAATTCCCGGCATGTGACACAATACCGTTGTTCGGCCGGAGACAGCACTCTGCTTCCGTATGCGACAATACTCTCGACGCCATTGAAAACTTTGGACAGAACAGCTCCAATTCCAGGTGTTACAAGCGTCTGTATCAAGGACGAACGGTGAGGAAAAGTCGGGGTAGCGGAGGGGAGGGGCGTTCACCAAGCCATCCCGGAGTGCAACAAATGTGGCCTCCTCCTCCTCCCCCCAATGGAATTCATGACCCTTTGCCGTCAAGGCGTGGAGAGGTTTAGCGATGGTAGCGAACCTGACGACAAAACGGCGGTAATAGGATGCGAATCCTATGAAACTGCACACCTTCTCCACCGACGTGGAGGTCGGCCAAGTTCGAACACACGCGGTTTTGTCTGGGTCAGTCGCAATACCCAATTCACTTACTATGTGGCCAAGATACCGAACCGATTTCTGGAGGAAGTGACACTTCTGTGGTTTAAATTTCAGGTATGGCCGCACGTATTTTGAGAAGGACAGCGCGTCGCCGTTCCAAGTGTTCGTCAAACGTACGGCTGAAAACGATAACATCGTCGAGATATATCAAGCACGAATCCCACTGGAGACCAGCCAGAACCAGTTCCATTAATCGCTGGTACGTAGCCAGCGCGGAATGTAGACCAATCGGAAGCCGATTGAATTTGAACAAGCCCTGTGGCGTACAAAAGGCTGTTTTGGGCTTAGAGGCTTCGTCTCGCGACAACTGCCAAGACCCGGATAGGAGATCAAGAGTAGAGAAGAACCGCGCCCCTTTCGAGGTAGAGGGTACGCTTCAGCAACAGAGACCTTATTAAGCTTATGGAAGTCATCACAAAAACACAAGCTACCATCGTGCTTTTTAACGATTACAATTGGTGTTCCCCATGGGCTGGTGGATGGTGAAATAATGTCCGTGGCTAACATTTCGCCAACTACCAGCCATGTTATTTTTCCGTAGGTCTCAGCCGGTAGGGATTCTGCCGGATGGGAGCAGCGTTACCCGTATCAATGTGATGACTCAAAAGCGTAGTGCGGCTGATATCAAATTTCCCTTTGCTAAAAACATCCGAAAATTCGCGCAAAAACACTCTCAGTTTCCCCCTCTGGACCTCGGACAATTCCTCATTCTCCGAACAAAGCGTATCCATCCCCCCTCATCAGGATTCTAGTGCGGCCACGTATTTGACGCGGCACCCACACTGCCAACAATGCTTCCCTCATGAAGCGCTGGCCACGCATGAGCCAGCACGGTACCTTCCTGGATGACCGATGTGTCTAACCCTGCGTTAAGGAACTGAATGAAGGGTTCCTGATTGTTGGGTACCAACATCTGGGCCCCTACTAACGTCAATCCACGGCTGGCTTTATTAGAAGGTCGCAAGAGGATTCCTTCCGCCGTCGCCCCCTGGTCTAGCGGCTTTCACAATCGTAGAGGGACTAACCGTCCTACGCACAAGCGCTTGTACAGTAGCGTTAGCTGTGCATAAGCGAGCGGGACAAGGCAAGAATGTCATTGGATGGTCGGATGGTAATTGCAGGCACCCCTGGTGAATCAAAATTTTCAGGGGTATCCTTCCCAGAAGATCAGTCCCGAGCAAGCAAGGAATAGCAAGGAATGTTGAAACAAGAACCTGTCCCGTCAATTTGACATCCAAATTGCACACCTCCACTGTTATTTCTCCCAATAATGCCCAATGAGCCACCATTTGCGGCGACGCATGGAGCTTCGACAGGGCATAAGGAACGACAATTATGGGGCAAGATATTATAAATCAACTCTGAAATGATGGTCTCTGATGCACCGGTGTCAACGAGCATCCTAATTTCTACCCCTTCTATAAATCCAATAACAGTGGACGAACCTGCGGTCGTGACCACCACTCGATGGGTCAGCTCCGTCCACTGACCCAGTCGGAGCGGCCGGCCGGCCCGATCAAAATCAAAATCCTCCCGCACACGACTGGGCTGCTCACGGGACAAGGAGATGTCTTCCGCCGTCGCTGGTCGTCCGCCCTTCGCACCATGCCGTCCCCTCGCCCGCCTCCGCTCTGGGTCGATGCGCAGGCTGGGACGGGCTCCACGTCTTCAGGTGTATCTGGCCCCTCAGGGGCGCGGTGCATGCTGCCAACCCCTTGTACCGTTGCAAGAGCTGTTGAGCCTAAATGCATCTTGCAACCTTGATAGACGAAAGATTGTCGTCGTCTACACCTGGCAGAACGATGTTGAGGTCCTTAGCCAAAGCCAGCAGTCTTTCGAGGACCAACGAGTCAACTCCTCGGAAAGGCAGCCTTCGCGTATGCCAAAAGTACGCTACGGAACGCGAGGGGCCTCTCGGTTTCCCCTCTCTTTCGCGTAGCGAACTTGTGGTGCACGTTCGACGGTGGCTAATTTGGTCAAAAGCTTGAGTCAGCGTGGCCCTCTCTGATGGCAGATGATAAGAAACACCGCCATGGCGTCATTATCAAGGGTGGCATCCACCCCGCCAAGTCGGTGTTCGTCAGGAACCACCGCTTGAAGGCGATCCAGTCGCCTCCGATGGCTGTAAATTCTTTCACGAAGGGAAGTCGTTGCCGGAGAGATGGAACGTCCACCAGCGATTTTGACACAGCTTCGGATTTGGCGGGCCCCACGCTCCACTCTTCTGAAAAGATGGCAGTCGCAAGCACGGGATGCGCCACAGAGGTTTCCGCTTGGCGGGAAATGGCGGCGGGAATTTCGTCCCCGCACGGCTCCGTTGCTCCCTTTTCTACCGCTGGCTTCGCGGGGTGGAGCTCCGCGAAGATGGACGCCATGGCTTGGAGGAGCTCTGCGAGGCGGGCGTGTGTGGTCTGTCACCGGCAGTGAGCCTTCGCGTGCCCGGTCGGTGCTGTGCTCCGCCGACAACACTTCACCTCCATCCTCCGGGGTCGCCATCCCCGGGGCTGTTTGCGGGATGAGATCTTCATCTTCGTCGTCCGACATCCTGGTACGTAGTCTGTGGCGCGTAGACATAGTCTAAACGGCTAGCTCAGTAAAATAGCGTTTGGCCACTTCTGACACCAGTTGTAGTTGATGCAACTGAGTCACAGACGTACTCCTTGGAGGTAACACATGTATTGATACCAACACAAAGGGGTGACTGCCCCTTTACCAGATAACAACCTATGGTGGTGGACCACCAGGCCAACTACACTAATTAATCTGGGAGTATCTACAATGGACAGGACCCCGGCTTGAGTCCAGGTCCACGTGTTGGTGACTCTTCTCAGACGTAGAACGTAGATCTCCAGGATAACAACAGCAACGCTGAACCCCGGTCCCTCTGGGGACCCGGTTTATATCCTGACTGGTCGTGGCTGGCTCCGCCCTTGGCCACGACCACCTTCTCAAATCCTCTAGCAAGATCTCGCCCCGACATGTGACCACCCCGAGCCCACACTTGGAGCCCCCCTGTGTAGACTTTACCGTCACGTGCCTTCCAGGGTCAACCAGAGTGCCATGGCACCCTCACACCCCCTCCTATAGGGGACAGCACTGCACGCCGAGTGTGGTGCCACTCAGCGCTCTCTATCAGCGCTCACCGAGCCCCTCTAGGGCTGGTACTACACCCACATGTATGGGGTGTCCGCGATGTCAATACATTGCACGCCGTGCCTCGCAAGAGCTGGCATTACACAGTGACTTCCACGATGTCGCTACGCACGTGATGTCCGTGATGTGAGTACATCGCGCGCCATGCCTCTCTAGGGCCGGCACCGCACAATGACGTCCGCGATGTCACTACAGTTGTAATCACCAGCGACTTTATTAGGGATCATATTGCTTGCAACTCGTTAAACTCATCGCCGTCCGTCACGATCCGCCGAGACAATTTGACGAGTTCAAGTGGAATGCTTCTGATCCTTGTTTATATGAATCGCTATCACCATTATTAGTTTTACTGCTATGCTTGTTTATGCAGGAGAGCCTCACCGAGTTTCAATACTCTCATTCAGGAGGGTCCTGCTGTTTGATTTTTCTCGGTTTGGAGGCGATGATGCTGCTACTGTGATCCCAATTGAGTACTTTGCAGGTATTTTTATTTTTTTCATGAGCAAATTTGGCCAATGCTAGTCACTTTTCGAAATTGCTCAGTGGGCTTTACCTCGTAAAATGAAAATAGTAGTAGTCACAGTCTATAGAGAGAGAGACCATTAGTCTCGAGTGGCTCCTGCATGGTCCACAAGTAAATATTCTCCGTCTGGCTTCTTAGGAGACAAAGGCAGAAAAAGCTGCCTGGCCGTGCTGAGTCATCTTCTCTCTCCGCGGCGATCATTGAGGCTCCCGGGAAAAAGCAAAAACATTTATTCTCTGCGGGCGGCAGTGGCAGCAGCATCAACAACAGTCGCAGCAGAAGTGTGCGTCGCTGAGTTTTTTTTGTAAAAACTAACCGCGTCCCTTTGTCGCTGCCTCGTTTACATTCTGTCTTTCTCTCTAAACGGAATTTAATTTATTTAAAGTAAATTTCGTCTCTCCAACTGGATTTCTTATTTGCGTCACGAGGTAAAGAATCCTCACGAACAACTCATGCTACAGTGCTGGCATTGCCCTGCTCCGGAGAACGTCACGGCCCCATGGAAGGGGATATCATATAACTGCTTTTTAAGATGCCACCAAGTGAACGTTTTAGTCATAAATTATTTGGTGATGCTGCTAATGCCGCTGGTGCTAATGCCGCTGCTGCTATGTTGGCAGTGGTGCACACGCACGGTTAAAACATAAACTCAACGGTGCTTGTCAAGAACACCATGGTCTTAAAAGGGAATATAAATAATCGTAGACGTTTCGGGCAGCTGCGCCGACTTCATAAGAGAGGTGGCCAATGCAGTCTCCAGCTCTTATCGTCCACTCCGTCTCTCTGGCTTCTCTACGTGTTATGAAGAAGGGCCATTACCCAAAATGTTAACCGATTATATATTTTTAGTTCGTTCAAGGCCACACGGTGTGACTGAAGAACGTACGTTGCCAACCATGACGAACGTCGGTTAAACTTTTCATGCGCCACGCAATCATGGCACATTGTCGCACTGATGTTTTGAATTCTTGCAGCTGGAATGTTGATAAATTACGTGAAGGGCAACATTTTACTTCCGGGCATTCTTGCGCGGCCGCCGGCGACCGGGCTGAGGCCCACTGCCTCGCCGCAATGGCGAGCGCCCAGGTTCTGATCCCGACTCGGCCTCCGTGAGGCTATCATCGGTCATCCGCGTTACATCCACGGATCTCGATATCATTCTATGGGTCGCCAGGCGAGTCTATGGACCTCTCTGTGAGCGAGTCATTTGTGGCCCGGCTGAGACCGTCTGCTCGCTACGCTCGAGGACCCGGTTTAATCTCTGTGTGGCTGGGCGGCTGAAATCCAGATTTATTACCCGGCCTCGCGGTGGTGGCGGCTCGGTGCTGTGACCCCCGCACAACCAGGCCTTTGTTGTCCTTTTCCCACACTTCCGATTAGCACGGTTGGCTACGTACGGTGCGAAAGAAGTTCAACACGCATCCGGGCCACTTCCGTGCCGCTTAATTGCTCGGCACCCAAATCTCTCGCACCTCGAGCGGGCCCTTCGCTGCAGAAATGGACAACCACAGAGACCCCCCCGTTCGTTCGTCGGCGTCACTGGCGTTAAATTATTGAGACGGTGCTCAGCCACCCCCCACTTCCCCCCTCCACCCAGATCACGGCACTCATCGCTCCGAAAAGGCCACCCCCACAGCTCCGCGCGGGTTGCACGGAGCACGCCTGCTTTTTTCTATGGTGGCGCGGACGACGAGTGGTTAACGACGAAAAATAAATGAGCGGCTAGCTGAAATTGACGCGCTTTTTTTTTTGTCGGCGGCCCCGTTCATAATGCCAGCGAGCTGGCGTGCAAGTCCAATTTCGCGTCGGATGGCAGATTGCGGGGGGGCGCCTTCGCGTGGCTCGTTAGGGGGCTTGTAGACCCACTTAAAACGAGCCTCCAGAGCTGCAATTTCGTGCAAAACGAGAAGACATTTTAGCTTAATGGACCCGATTTCTTAGGCTTGCGGCATCGCGGCTCCATCGTGCATTCAATTACATCTTGCGGCGGATGCGCGCGGTGCGTTCCATGCGGCCATGCCTCCTCTTAGAAGCCGTGAAAAATGCCCCGCGATCTCTAATCTGACAGAAAACGAGAAGCGCACCGGCTTTATGAACCACGCAGAGATGCGTTCACGTACATGGGCGAGGTGCATGTTGGAGGAATTACAAAACGACACGCTTGCGTGCGTAGTGTGTGTCTGTGCGTGGAAACGTGTGAGCGGTGGCGCAGCGATTAACGTGCCTGCGCCGCCAATTAGGCGACCCGAGCTCGAATCCCGCTCACGGTCAACACCGGTGACGATTTTATTAACCGGTGCTGGGCCTCCCTCTAGGTCGACTCAGCCTCAAATCAGTACCCGGTGTGGTGTGTGAACATCGCCACTGGGGAGACGAAGGCGGCCGGGCGTGGGGTGCTGGCCACCCGTCCGCTCGTACGGAGGACCGGCTGTAATAGGTGCTGCTCGCTGACAGCACTCGTTTCAACAGTCTGTTAAGATTACACGCGGTGGGATCTTTGTCTTTGTCTGCCGTTGCACAGGAGCAGTACCAGTTCCTTTACAAGGCGGTGCTGAGCCTGGTGGCGAGCAGGGAAACCCGGAACGGATGTGCCGCACCAGACCGAAATGGAGCAGCCGTCCTGCCCGACGAACCGGACCCCGCCGAGAGCATGGAGTCGCTCGTCTGAGGCGACGGAACGAAGAGGGTGGAGAGAGAGGAGAAAGAAAGCAAGAAGGATTGAATATTTTACCCGGGCCAATTAAAAACGTATTTATTTTTTAAACGAAACGAATCCACCTGCAGAGCGGGGAGCCGGGGTGACTGTGGAGGCGGAGGGGATGAGAAATGGAAGGCGGGAGGTGAAGGTGGCGTAGGAATCGTTAATTACTCGCAGTCGATCGGAGGGGGGGGGTGCAAAGGCCGTGTTTGTTAATGGCCAGAGGGTCAGCGGCACACCGGCACGAGTCGCGCTGATGTACGACCTCCACCGCCACCACTCCCGGCCCCCCTTCACTTTTATCCCCCGCCTCCCCCCCCCCAAGACCATCGGGGTGGCATCAGGAGCTCCCCCCACCCACTCGGCCCCCGTCGCCTGCCCAACCACAACCAACACGTTCCGCGAGCTTAGGGAGATGTATTATCTATTATAGATGACGATATTTAATATATGCTGTTCACGAGACGGGAGCTGTCGTGTGATGTTTGATGTTTGTTTGTTTTTTGGGAATGGAAGTTGTAGATATTTGTAGGTAAACTGCCCCCCCCTCCCCCTAGCTGTAGAACTCGGCTGCCCCCCTTCTAGTCTTAGACCCCCCCCCCCCCCGCGGTCCGCTCTTTTCCTTTGTCTCGAGCTAGCGAGTACCCGCGTTTATTTTGCTCGACGTCGCAAGACGCCGAGGACGGACATGGGGACGTTGTCGCGTTACATCGCGGGAAAAGATGAACGCAACGAGAGGCACGCGGCAGAAACCGAAACAGACGTGATTGATAGTCTTGTAATAATCATCATAAACACTCTCATAATGATAATAATAAGTAGTGACTCAAATCCCACGTAGGAAGATGAACCCATGTGGAGTCGTATACTGACCTAGGGCTTTGTTAGACGTGCGCGCGTGTTCGCGCGTTATGTAAAGTGTGAACTCTGCTCTTCTCCTGGCTCTGTAGGGACGTCCGTGTCCACGTGCGTACCCCTGTCCATGCCCACGTGCGTGCCTGCCCGGTGAAACAGCTGTGCGCTCGGTGGTGTGATGTTTGCAAACGCTCATGTCGCTGTAGTCTCAAGGTGCGCGTACTCAGTGTTGGGCTACGGGCCATGGCTGTTGGGTTCATTTTTTATTGGAGCTGCCCGCGAGACTCGCACACACGAGGTTTGTCGCGTGTGCGAAAATGAAACGGGGTGACCATGGACATTTTGACCACTCTGGGGGGCGGTTCGCTCAGTGGCTCGCTCAGTGGCTTGGTGGCTCGCTCAGTTGCTCGGATCGTGGATTGGTCATTGGCTTGACCCCGCGTCTACCACCCTCGTTCGTCCCTGTTGGAATAGCTGAACAGGGTCAGGGTCGATTGCCGTTGAGTCTGCGACCACAGTGGAAGTCGTGCGTGGGTGGTGGTGCAGTGCTGTCTGATGGGGCGTGCAGAGAGTAGGACGACGAGGGATACTGTGGCTGCTGTTCGTCGTTCTCGCGCGTATCCGTGTCCCGCAGTGGAAGTGGCCTGCGTCTGCGTCCGTGCGTCTGTATGGGTGCGGCTGCGTGCGTACGTCTGTGTATGTATACACATCTGTGTGTGCGCGTCTGTGTGCATCTCTGTGTGTGGGGAGCGGTGTGGTTAGCGCACCACGCTACAAACCTGCCGAACCTAGTTCGATTCTCGCCCATCGCAGCTAACATCAGTGACGAATTTCTGAACTGGTCCTGGGTCTCCCCTAGGTCGACAGAGCCTGAAATGAGTACAGCGGTGTTGTAAACATCAGCGCTGGGCAATCGAAGGCCTCCGGACGCACATGAGGAGGTCGTCGTCGTGTGCCGTGCCGACCTTCATAGGCGCTCGCTAAAAGCATTTGCCCCAACAGTCTGTACAGGCTATATGGGGGGGGGGGGGGGGTTATTTGTGTACGTCTACGTCTGTGTGTATTTGTAGGTGTGTGCGTGTCCTCGTCTGCGTGCACATGTATTTATATCTT